AGATTTTAAAAGTGATTTTCTTTTAGATGAATAAGATGTTCGAGGCATGATATGGGAGGGGGTGCATTACCATATTGTGCATAAAATTCATTATACAATTGATGAAATAAATTACTAACCTCGTTGAATTCTTGTTTAGGGTCTATGGGATTATCATCGAACTCTTGAGTTGGAAAAAAAAGAAGCATAATAGTAATCTGTACAAGTTCCCAAGTAAGCAAGTTTATAACGAGGATCAAGAACAAATGCAATACCATATATATGCGGAATATGTGAATAATATTTATTAAACTTTTGTTTCATGAAATCACAAAAATAACTAACATAAGCGGCATCATCAAATTCACAAAGAGCGTCGGCGATATTAACAGCTTCAACAAAAAATTCGTTTGCGGTAGGTTTATAAACATGACTAAAAGTTTGAGTTGCATTATTAAAATATACCAAAACATTAACAATTTTTTCACAAGTGTCGATGTCAGCCGGGTTTATAATATAGTTACAAGATTGTCTTTTAAAAGTAGGAAAATGATCTTTATATCTAATAAGTACTTTAATTAAGTTATAAGTACTATTCCAACGAATAGACAAATCTTTAGAAAAAGCACAATAATTGACACGTCTATCCTTCAAATATTGTCGTCATTGCATTTTTAGTGGAGTATTAGCCCAAATCAATTTAATTTCCCCTTCACTACCTCCAAAACATTTCCTAATGCCGCTAATCCATCTTGTACACACAAATTTAGAATATGACATGCACAACGTTGATGAAAAAACCTACCCATCAATGTAGAAGCACCACACAATTCACGCAATCTAGGTATAGCAGCAGTATTATTACTAGCATTATCAAAACCTAGAGCAAACACCTTATCAATCAAATTATACTCAATTAAAATACGCTCAATGAGAATATAAATATTATCAGCAGTATGACGATCATTGAATTCACGAAAAGCAAGAACACGTTTATGCATATTCCAATCATCATCAATATAATGTGCAGTAAGACCCAAATAATATAAATGATGATAAGTATCCTCTCACATATCGCTACAAATACTAACACGTCCATCAAAGTTTGCGAAAAATGTTTGTAATTTTTCTTTTTCCAAGTTATATTGCCTTATAACTTCATTTTTAATCGTTTTGCGAGTATAATTTCTAAATTGAGGATTTAAAGTACCTTGAGCATAATCTCTTAAAGCAAGACTTTGGGAAAAAAATATAGGGTAAATTTTCTTCAACAACTAAATGAGACATACCAGTCAAATGTTTTTTTATCATCATAGGAGAAATTACCAAAGGGTTGAGAATATGCAAACCTCGATATTTGTGTTTGCTTCCCCTTGTGTTTGTCTATTTTCGCATACTCCACAAAGTGTGCGGACTTAAGATGCCTTGTCAGACTCCCGTATCCGCCAGAAGTTCCCAAGCTATACTCTTTGTTGCAATGATTGCAACTTGCGTACCATTTATCGGTATTTTTGTCTTTCCTTTTTGTAAAATTGTTTTCAATAATAGGAGATTTAGATTTCTTACCAATTTGGGATGAACCGCTTTCGTCCTCCAACTCTTGCTCATCATCCGGGGTGCCGTCCCCCCCCCCCCCCCCCCCGCCCTTCATCCTCCTCCGCATCCTCATCCTCGAGCTCATCTTCGTCAATGGTTGTCGGGAATTGTTGTTCTTGTGCAAAGCGTGGATCATTTTGGGACAATAGGTTTTGTAGTTGCTCGTCGGACATCGTCATATCATCTCTCCGTTGGTAATCCGTTTCAAAATCATCTCGACTTTGAAAAGAAGACTCGGCCCGCGCTTTACCTTTGCCTTTGCGTGAAGTAGGACGAGTCGCCGCAATCTCCCTCTTGCGGTTGCGTTGGAGATTATCCATATCTACAGAATGTCTACCACGATCCATCTTTAAAATTGAACAAATATTAAATGATATCAAATATTTTATATGAGTAAAATAGTAATAATAAAATGTGACTAAGAGAACTATAGCAAATTCGAACTAAAATATGAGTATATCAAATGTAACATTTTTTTTCCTTGAAAAAAAAACGAACTACTTCTAATTAATACTTTAATAACAAATGTACCAATTAACTAATATTAATATGAGAAATGTAACAATTAATTAGTTTTTTTACTTTAATGAGAAATGTACCAATTAACTAATATTAATATGACAAATGTAAAAATTAACTAGTTTTTGTACTTTAATGACAAATGTACCAATTAACTAATTTTTTTTCTTTAATGAGAAATGTACCAAATAACTAATATTAATATGAAAAATATAACAATTAACTAGTTTTTTTAAACTTTAATGAGAAATGTACCAATTAACTAATAGGAAAATGAAAAATGTAACAATTAACTACTTTTTGTAGTTTAAAGATAAATGTAGAAAAATGAACTAATATTAATATGAGATATGTAACAAGTAACTAATTTTTTTTTCTTTAAAGAGAAATGTAGAGAAATGTAACAATTAACTAATTTAATAGATAAATGAGAAGTCTAACAATTAGCTACTTTTATAAAATGTATGAATGTGTATAAGTATATATAGTTTATATAATGTGTAAATGTATTATAAGTAATATATAATATAATGTTTATAGTATATAATATATAAGTATATACTATAAGATGAGTAATACACTTATACTTAATACTTTAATCTATATATATATAAGTATATATTAACTAAATGTAATATGTAAATATAAGTAAATAACAATAGTATGGATAATAACTAAATATCAAGTAAATATGAATGTGTATAAGTATATATAGTATATATAACGTGTAAATATATTATAAGTAATATATAATATAATGTTTATAGTGTATAATATATAAGTATATTACTATAGATGAGTAATACACTTATACTTAATACTTTAATATATATATATATATATATATATATATATATATATATATATAAGTATATATTAACTAAATGTAGAGTGCTCTTCATGTCAGGCCGGCCTGACGGGATGCCCCGTCCGGCCGAGCCCGTTTGGGCACCTTCCCGGTGGAATTTTTTGATGAAATTTTTTGAGCATGTTCCTCCTCAAGTCTAGTTTGTCCATACCAAATTTCAGCTCAAAATTCGATCGGGAAGGTCGTCAAATGATTTTTGCAAGTTAACTGGTCCGGAATATGTATTTTCCGGACCAGTTAACTTGCAAAAATCATTTGACGACCTTCCCGATTGAATTTTGAGCTGAAATTTGGTATGGACAAACTAGACTTGACGAGGAACATGCTCAAAACATTTCATCAAAAAATTCCACCGGGAAGGTGCCCAAACGGGCTCGGCCGGACGGGGCAGCCCGTCAGGCCGGCCTGACATGAAGTTTTCTCACTAAATGTAATATGTCAATATAAGTAAATAACAATAGTATGGATAATAACTAAATATCAAGTAAATATGAATGTGTATAAGTATATATAGTATATATAATGTGTAAAGAATTATAATATGAATGTGTATAAGTATATATAAGTAGAGTTATATGAGTGTTGTTTCTGTTCGGAAATTCCGGACAGGAGCCCCGTCCGGCCTCCTCCATTTGGGGGCCTTCCCGGTGGCAGTTTTTGCTCAAATTTTTTGTGTATGTTCCTCATCCAGTCTAGTTCATCCATACCAAATTTCAGAAAAAAATTCAATCGGGAAGGTCGTCAAATCATTTTTGCAAGTTAACTGGTCCGGAAAATACATATTCCGGACCAGTTAACTTGCAAAAATCATTTGACAACCTTCCCGATTGAATTTTTTGCTCAAATTTGGTATGGATGAACTAGACTTGATGAGGAACATACACAAAAAATTTGAGCAAAAAATACCACCAGAAAGGCCCCCAAATGGAGGAGGCCGGACAGGGGAGTGGTCTGGCCTGGCCGGACCTGAACATTCGTGTATATAAGTATATATTTATAAGTAGATAATTAATATATAAGTATATATAATAATTATATAAATAATATATATGTAGAAAGAATTTGGAGAAGATGAAGAATGAAGATGATTGAATATGAGAGAATAGAGAATTAGACTATTAGAGTAAGAAGAGTTGTAGAAGAAAAGATGTAAAAAATGTATAGAAAATAGGAGTATAAATAGGTTTTTTTGTATACCCCACCCCCACCCCACCCCCCACCTCACCCCAAACCCCCCAGACCCCCCCTCCTATGCCCCCAACGGCTATAGAGCCGTTTGGGAACAGTCCCAACGGCTAGAAGCCTTTAATTATTTTTTAAAAAAAATTAAAAATGGCCGTTGTGGCCCGAACCGGGCCGGTTCCCCTTTCTGCAGGCCCGAGCCCGGATCGCTTTAAGACCGGGTCGGTTGGCCCGAACCGGCACCTAAACCGGTTACCGGGCTGGGTACAAACAGTACCGGTCCGGGCCAGTTTGCCCGACCAGAGTCCACCCATACCCATGATACTAGGCCTGGACTCGGGCCGGGCGGCCCGACCCGGAACCGGCCCGGCCCGGCCCGGCCACTGTAGCAACCGGCTCGGCCCGGTGGCCCGGTCCACCGGCGGTTCGGGTCGAACCGGCCCGGTGGTTCCCAGTTCCGGGCCCGGGCCTTCCATATGGTGAACCGGCCCGGCCGGTTCGGGCCCGGTCCGGGCCGGAAATAATTTTTTTTTTATTTTTTTTTGAATTCTTTTTATGTTTTGGGTTAGATTAGGTATTTTGGTCCATTTGAGGTGGTTTGGGGTTGAGAAAGAGGGGTAGGGGATTAAATAAAGAAGCCAAAAAAAAAAAATAGGGCGGGTGGCCCGGCCCGGAACCGGCCACCCCCGGTTCGGTTTCGGGCCTCAATATTCTGAACCGAGGCCCGGCCGGGCCCAGGCCCGAGGCCCGAACCGGCCCGGTTCAGACCACCCCTACATGATACTGATGATAGGGTAAGGAGGAGTCTGATGTACACGGTCTTACCTCTCTAGGAAAACACAAAGAGACTATTTTCAAATAACCTATCATGAAAATTACTTCACACACTTTAGAGACTCATCTTGCTTTACTTCATCATATTCTCAAACCCAAGAAATAGGGATAATGATGGGAATAAAGAATATACGATTCTACATCTAAATAATACAGATATAAATAAATTGTTACAATTGAAATAAAGAATGAAATGAAAACATGTTTGTTGATGATGAAATGAAATTTTCAAAATGAATAGATAGGGGAGTGGGCTAAAGCAGAGTTGGATATTTGGCATCGATGAAATCTCTCAAAGTTTTGGCAGGTCGCGAGCCGCCCATGAGCTCAGCAAGTCTGTCCATGGGAAGAAGAGAGAGATCGGCCAAGCACTTGCACCCATCCATTATGGCCCTGTAGTTGGACTCTGTCACCCCGGGAAGACGCCTCAACAATTCCACCGCTGACGTGTTGTAGTTCTCTGCTCTGTTTATTGCAAACAAAATGGAATGAGAATTACAGATGTACTTCATTCATGATGCTCACATATTATGTTTTCCGCGTACAACTCCTTTCAAATTTAAATATAAATTATGTAAATAGTGAGTATGTTTTATTTTTAATACTAAAGCCATAAAAGAAAAAATCATTTTTTTATTCAGTAGTGGAGTTCATTTTGTGATGCAACTTGTGTTATGGAAAATCTAACTTAGGTAGTTAGGTGTGTATACAAAATGCAACTTGTTAAGTCAACTACAAATATAACTCGCGCATAGGGAAATGTAACTTATTTTATAACTCGCGCATAAAAATAGTTAATGAATATGAAATGCAATATACTTATTTTATTTAAATTAATAATTTTTTTGTTATGAATTGATAAAGAATAAAAAATAGATTTGAGTAATAATTTAAGCTCAAGATAAAGAAAAGTAAAATTACAATAAAATTTTTAGTATTTTAGTGGAGAAGGAAAAAATAAATAAAGAAGTAAAATAAAGATGAAGCAAAAAAGATGCAACTTGCACATAAAAAATGTAACTCGCGCATAAAAAGATGTAACTCGCGCACAAAAAGATGTAACTCGCGCACAAAAAGATGTAACCCGCGCACAAGAAAATATACCTACATCTACTATTAAATGCAACTCCATATATTGTCTGTAAACATAACTTACACATACGAAATAAACAAGTTTAAAGTCTTAAGAACACTAAAAATATACTCCGTACTACTTTTGTCCAGATTAAAGGTTACCATTGCAAAATAACACTAAAATTTAGACACCTAAATTAGGTAATTCGAGTATATTTAGTTATATAATTTTGATGGTTATATAATTGATAATTGATGGTTATATAAAGTGGTAATTGGGATGCTATAGGTTATATAAATATTATTTTTAATATTTAATGATTAAATTATCGTTTAAGAGTATTAATTGTTTCCTAGAATAGAAATAAGAACCTTTATATGGGACGTCCAAAAAAGGAAAGTGAAAACCTTAGAATGGGACGGAGGGAGTATAAAAGAGATATGTAATATATTATAGTTAAAAGTTAATGAATATGAAAAAATATATTACAAAAGATATTACAGAAAAAATATATTCATTTGTAATTTCAGTTGAAGATTAAAAAAAGTAAAAAAATAGTGTATGATTATGAAAAACAATATACTTATTTTATGTAAGAATAATCTCGGTCTCTTTATGATCAATTGTTATATTACACAGTTCAATGAGTAAAAACATTAGTTGTTACACAAACATTACACTCAATTTCTTTGGATTCTTTTCCACCAACTTTAAATGTACGCCATTTAACTACTTTCTCTGTCTCTTTTTAATGCTTACTCAATTTATCACATGAAGCTATACTTTTAATAAAAGTTATATGTTTGGCGTTATAAGTTAAATTTAACGAATTAATAGTTAATTAAAAAGAAGTGTCTGGGATGCATTTGTGGGTCAGTAAATATAAAAGTTTTCATCGTAGTTTCATACTTGTCACATACTTCCACAAATTATCACTATGAAGTTGTATTTTTTTATTTAGGATTGCTTATCTATAAGTTACAATGTGTGTGTGATATTTAGGATCGTTTGTCTATAAGTTATCTAGAAGTTACCTTATGCATTCTATTGGTTGAAACTTTGCAGTTTTCAGCCTAAGGCACACTTCTCTTCCCAAACCACCCTTAAAGAGGATCATAAATGATGTTATGATGTGTCTCACATAATTTTCAACAAAACCTTCTCTCCATACCCCCCCCCCTCCCAAAGAGATCCTGAAAGACTACATATTAGAAAATCATATGTACCTGATATCATTTTCAACAAGACCATCTTCTGAAGGAACACCAACTCTAATTGCCTTGACCTCATCTGGCTCATCCTGATTAGCTTTAAGAGAGGTAAATATTTCGGCAGTAGCATGCAAACTGCGGGACCAGACAATGCGAAGCCGTGGAAAATGAAGAATAAGCAAAGATAGCTTCGATATAATGTTGTTTGGCGTCACATCATCTCCAATTTCACTAGCAGACTTCAAGAAAAAACCTACGAGTCAGATTAATGAAAAGAAGGGGAGGGAAGGGAGAAGAAAAGTTGGGAAAAGGTGGTTAAGAAATACTCCCTCTATCTTAAAGAGAAGAAGACGTGTTTGAGTAGGGGGCATCTTTTCATTTTTAGACTCAATCAAAAGTTATGAATAGACATGTATACCCCTAGACTTATTTCCTAGATTGCTTGGAGTAAATGACTAAAACTGCTTGGAGATTGGCTTTACATAAAGTTAAGTTCTGGGTCTAAAACTAATTCTTGTTTTGGGACTAAACGTGACTTTTTTGGGGACGGAGGAAGTATTATGTTTGAGTCAATGAAGGCATTGGTATTTTGAAGAATTAAGTAGAAATGCTGAACTAGATATATTTTTTGGAGGGAAATCCCCAAAATAGGAGTAAAAACGTTTGAGAATTCCAAATAATACTACTCCGTATATTTTTTCTTAAAATAGGAGTATGTTAATGTCATCTTACAAATTTACAATCATGCTTCGGCATTACCAGAATTTAGACATGGCAGTCTACTGTCATAAGTGGCAATATTTTCCAAACTTGGCTTACTCCTATTTGGGGAATAAAACATAGCACTCCTATTTTGGAATTCGCAAAGCCTTCACTCCTATTTAGAGCAATTTCTTATTTCTTTGTAATCAAATATATAGTGATCTACAAGTACATAAAACAATAATAATGTAAAATAATTTCTGTAAAAGGTGAAAAAAATTAGAAAATGAAGATAACTTCCCAAAACCCCAAAATTAGAGTGAATTATGAGGAGTTTGAAGGATTTTATAGCTACTCCACATTCTCCCCCCTCCCCCCCCCCTCCCCAAATTCCCCTAAATCTCCAACAATGCACATAGAGCTCCTTCACTTTTCTTTCCTCTCTCCCAAATCCTACAAACAAAAAAGGTACCCACAAGAGGCATATACCTGAAATGAAAAGCTCTTGTCTTGTGAAAACTCGATGAGCAGAACAGGAATGCGGTAATACCGTGACATCATTTCCACCTGGTGGAAAAGGCGGCCAGATGCAAAACTGCCATAAAGGTCTTGTATACTCTTTCTTTCTACACACATCAGCGGAGAAAGTATATAATCTCCAACTTCCAAAGTCACCGGTATAATGTGCATGCCTTTCTGGTGGAGTACATTAGGGAGACTACTCATGAACTCTCTCATGTCCACTATCACCTAGTGTCACCACAATGTAACAGTTACTACACTAACGCTATGTTTGGAGCCTGGAAAATGGCAGGGTGAGGAAAATGGTTTTTTATGTTTTATTTTAACAAGGAAAATACAAAGAATAATCAATTCTAATCGGGAAAAAATACTCCCTCCGTATTTTAAAGTTCTACACTTCTTTTTGGGGTGTATTTTAAAATTTGTTACACATTCCCCTTTTGGTAAGTTTTCCCTTTAAAAATACTCAATTACCCTTACTTTTTTTACTTTTTATTTCTCTTTCATACTTTTACACCCTCTTTCATAGTTTTTCTACACTATTCATTACCCCTACCACTTTCCTCCTTAAATAATGTGCCAAAGCCAATTGTAGCAATCTTTATAATATAGAGGGAATATAATAGAAACATATAAATACAATGAGTTTGAACAAATACCGAAAATTTATCTATTGAGTTTGAACGAAATTATTATTTCCCCTCAAATTTCGTCCCTGATTTCTTTCCCTAGAATATTCCTTGTTCCATGTGAACCCTGAGAATCTTTTTCATGAGAGTTTCCATATTGACATACTTGCATTTCCTTCTGTGGATCCTTTTTACCACCAGCTTTTCTAGTCATTAGATTTTGGGAATGTATGGATTGCCCATCAGTTGAAGAATCCAGTCCTGTACAATGTCCATCCTGATTACAACAAAGACCAACAACATAAGCAAAATGAATGTAAGAATTAACTCTGCTTCCAAAAATAAATTAAAAATCAAGTTTTGTGGGGAACAATTATAACTTGACCCATTTACCTCAACTTATCGCCCATTCATTACATATTACTCATTAAGTGGAAAACCCTATTATAATGACTCGGAAATTTCCCTCAATATTCCATCTTTGGAAGGTTGTGAGTTGAAGAGCATCTGGTGTAAGACTATCAGAAAATATTATTTTGCATGAATTTACAAATGTCAACTAAATTTCGAGAATTAACTCACTACAAGTTTCATGCCACGGACCTCAAAGTAATTAGGATCAAGGTGATGGTGATGGTGATGGTGATGGTGATGGTGATGATGATGAGAACATTTTCTACTTTTGGCTCCGGCTTTCATTTTGCGCACCTTTGGTGCATGCCAGAGTTTTTTATTTATCAAGTTTGGTGCTTCTAATCACTTATCCAGCACAACTTTCGAATAATTGTTGCCAAATAACTGACAAAAAGAACCAAAAATGTCAAGAGAACCATAGTCATGCAAAAAAGTCGAGGACCAAAGTAGAACTTTTTTATGATAAAGAACAGTTACAAGTTTGCATGGTTAGACCAGATGACCAAAAGGTACAGAATAATGCTACCAGAACCTTTGATAATTGACTAAGCAAGATCATTTATATAGTCACTTAGCTTGTGAAATCTTATAACAGCAAACCTGATCAACTGGGATCATCATTAGTGATTTCTGCCTTATCAAAGATTCAAAGGCTGCATTTTCTCTTCGTATGCTTGCCTCAAACTTTTGGGCCTCAGTAGAATCTTCATAGAAGAGAAAGTATACTTTCACTTTAATTGAAGGATTTTCAGCTTTATAAATCTCAATCTCTCTCACGAATGCAATCTCAGGATGGTATACAATAATGACAGAAGGCTTCAATATGTCAAGTATATGCTGATTGCTCTCGAGTGCATAAAAGTGCATACGTGGAAGATGTTTACTCTGGTTCAAAGATTTGGCATCGGATGTTCTCCCTTCCTTTTGAAGCAATGTTTCATCAACAGAGGAACTTGTATGACCAATTTCTGTCTTCTTCTTGTTCTTTACTTTTCCCATTCCACTATCCGAAGTTGAAGCATTTTCTTCATGAGCAGTACCCTTTTTAGCTTTCTTACCAATTTCTGATGCCATTGCTAGTAGCGCATCGTGTTCCTGTTTACATACGCTACTAATAACTTCTGCCTTTTGTACAGGAGCAGCTAGAAAAACTCCATCAAGTACCCCAAAACCTTTTGGTTGTTTTGGTTTCTTTTTGTTCTGTTTGGGTAACGCCTGAAGCTCTACTTTGCTTAGCAGATAATTCTCCCATTCTTTCCTCATGACCTTCATAGTGAGAAATGCGTGTTGGTGAATTGAATATGATGGGAAAGGGATGCATGCATTAAGAATTCACACATTAAGGATAAGTATCTTGTGACAGATTACTTATTATGTATTACTCTTAAATTTTCAAAAAACCTAAGTTTGCAACTTACCATGTGAAACAGTTACTGCAACTGCCAGAAATTGCCCCCTAGCGATGTTGTGATTCTTTCATATTCAAATTCCACATAATTTTAAATCTGGTGATAACTGCTTGATCTTGATTAGAATGAATCACAAGATCACAATTCGGTTCTACATCAAGAAAGAATATCATGCCAGATCTTTCAAATAGTGGATAATGCATTCTTTTCGATGAAAAGAAATCGAAAAGAATGCTGTCAGAACTCAGATCCCCAAAATAATTTAAGCTATTTGGATCTGGGAAAATAGTAAAAAATGCTAGAGAAAGAAAATTGAGAGACAACTTTGGAACAAAAGAAAATTTGTGGGAAATAAAAGAGTAGAAGACGCAGTCAAACTCTAAATTTATTTTAGATCTTTGGCCCAATTCTTTTTTATTTTTATTTCTATTACACACACACACAAAGATACCTAAATATATGTAGATTTAAAAAAATAATGACAATTCATTTTCGTTTACATTTTACAAGGTAAAGCTGAATATAATATATCTTGCCACTTGCCTTCATTAAAAAACATTTTCCGCAAAATGTAAAACAAAAAAAAAGGAATAAAAACCTTTTGAGGGCAGTTTGTGATGCAGCTCTCTAGCAGCATGCAGGAGCGTTCATCTCTGCAGGCAACTAAAACAACACTGTTGTCAATCCCTTCATCTTCAGAAGCTAGTACGTCTCTACTAATAGCTTCCTTTTCTCTTTCTTCTTGTATCTCTAGAAGAACATCCTGCAGCAAACAATAATGAGAAAAACAAGCTTAGAAAACTAAGTGAATACGTGTAAATTAACAATCCATTAAAAGGAGAACGTTCTGTTTTGCACAGAAATATCAATCAACCAACTAAAGCACACAAGTCTAGCAAAGATAATGCAACTCACTCACACGCAAAACCTTCCATTTTGGTTCTTCCTCCAAGACTTCCTGCAAAACTACTCTGCCACTAGTACTTGCTGATGAATCTGAATGCAGAAAAGGTCAGCAACTTACAACAAAATAAAGCATTAATAACTCCCAAAAAACTTGAATCATGTGTGAGATCTATAAAACCTAACAAATGTTAACAAGAAGACAAGAACATATATCTACTATGTCACTACTTTTTTCCTTTCTGTTTATTTTTTTTAGTTTTCTACATTCCAATATGATGCTTCGGTTGCAACTAAGATGGGAAGAATTGTCAGAATATACACAAACATATAAAACAGTACTCATTACTCTAAGAAATGATAATATTGATGGGAATTATAGGAAGCTTCATAAAATTTTATTAAAACAGTTCAGACATGGTTGCCAATGAATGCACTCTTGAATGGGTATGAAAAAATATAGGTGAGGAAGGTGTACAGCAAAACTCACTTAGTTTGGTGTTATCGAGAAATATATGCAAGCTCAAGTGTTTAAATTGGATATAGCATTATTACGACAATTAAACAGAGAGCCAACCCTATCTATGCAATGGCCAACATACGGTTTTCAGAATAAACAAAATGTACTCCCTCCGTCCCTTATAACTTTGCCAAGTTTGACCGGCACATGGAATAATAAGGGACGGATGGAGTATCATGTATCCCCCACCCCCACACCCCAAAATAAGTAAAAGGAAATGGGAAAAGAGAAAATGTCATATCCCAGACTGGTAGACTCTTAGTTGAGTCTAAATTTTCGTGTCACTATTTCTCCTTTATTATTTCTGTGTATCCAAAAAATTGAGCAGAATACCTCAGGACATTTAGTAAACTTCAATGAAACTAGCAAATTTCAAGTCAAGTTTGATAAGGGCCATAAGGCTAGTAATGCAAAATTGCAAAGCATACCTCCATCCTTCTCATCGCCAGTTTTTCTCTTTTTAGTTCCATTACTCGGATACTGCCCTGCCAATTGTACACTATCTGACCTCCCAAAATAATAAACTCGCTTCTTAGCATACTCAAAAATCTTGTAGCTAGACTCTGCAAATATCCAAACTGATCGAAAACTCTCTGAGGCTCTGAGCGAGTCCAGATACTTCAAATAAGTTACAGCATCATACCTATTCATGTTGGATGTTATGTTTTACTACAAACACACATACATTTAAATAAATTCAAAATGCCACAAACAATATCAATGAACCCATGAACACAAACACTTGACATTAACTTTTGCCTAAAAGGTAATCCCCAAAGACACAAAAACAACAAAAGCTAGAAAACTTGAGCTTTACAAGAATATAACATAGGTAATATAGCTATAGAAAAAACTCAACAAGTAACGATAAAAATATAACCCAAGAAGACAAACCAATAAAATACCTAACAAGGTAATCCATCAACTTTCTCAATGTCTTCAAATCTGAAACAAGCTGCTTTGTCTTCTTCCCTAGCGTGTGCCAAATAGGGTCCAACTGTCTTCGCAGTATCTCATCAAATGATTTAAAGAGCCCATTCTCCACAGTCAAGTCCTCCACATCAACTTTATTAGTCTTCCTCATTTCCTTTAAACATGCATCCATAACCTCAAGCACTGCCTTTTGAATGGCAATCATGTACGGGGACATTGGAACTCTAATGTCCACAACCTCAGGAGGGTCCTTCTCCAAATCCTGTGAAACATGTACCTGCAAAGAAAATATGCAAGTAGTCCTCCATTTATACCACACTGTGTAACTATGGAGTATAACTTTGCAGAACCGCGGCTTAAGAGTCAAAACGTTCACAATTCAGAGATAACTGTAGTTCAGTTTTCAAGCTCTTTTTTTGTTTTGTTTAAAAAGGTGATAACTTTCTGATATTGTGATCGATCTTACTATGAATTAGTTTTTACAGATGAATTAGCCACTAATTTTGTCCATAAAACAAAAAAGGTCAGTCATTTTTGCTCAAACTGAGATTTTAGGCAGTCGTAACTGGTAAGTAAACAAGTAAACAAATAAAAGGGCAGTCATAAAATAAAAATTGATGCAGAATAAAATCCTCGAAAACTGAAACAATTGAAAACCTGGAAGCGAGGCCAAAGATGAAGCTTTCTTAGGAAAAGGCATTTCAAGGTTCGCTCAGCCCTTGCAAAGCCAGAGACCATGGCATGTGGGCGGTCCGAAAAGGCCCTAATATAGAGTGAGCGGTTTGCCGAACGGATGATTCTAACAATAAACGCTTCGGTGGAGGTATCTGAGATTGAATGAGCGTTGAGGATGATGATTCCGGCGACTGAGGTGGTGGGTAAACGGCGAGTAAGGAGGTCGACGATGAGAATGCGGGAGGTGATGAAGAAGATTCCGCCCGAAGTGTAAAGGGACAGACGCTGGTGCGCGGGAAGATCGGAGGTAATCTCGGAGGGCAGAATAGGAAGTCCACTGGTGCCGGGGGCAGAGCTTTCGCGTTGGATGGCGATCTCGAGATTGAGGACGATGGAGTGTTTCTGGGAAGGAGAGGCGGAGAGGATGAGGAGGGAGCCCTGTGAAGAGTGGTGGAGGAGGAGGAGAGAAGAAACCAGTTTGTGGAGGCCGAGGCCGGCGGAGAGGACTACTAAACCGCCGGTTTGGTCTTCGAGGAGTTCCGCTATTATGTGGCCGTGAAATTGAACCATTTTTTTTTATCAAGTTCCCAGGAGGGTAGGAACAGGGATGCTGCCTGCTTACATGAAAATTTCTTTTTGTTTTCTCCTTTCTTTCTTCTTTCCTTTTCTTCTTCCAACATCTTGTTCTTTCTTCCTTTCTCCTCATCTTCTTCTTCTTAGGGGTTTTTGGAACTGATTCTGTTTATGCTTCTTTTTTAAAGCAGAAGCAGAATCAGAATCAGTTTTCAGAAGCTGGTACCCCCCTAGCTTCTAAAAAAACTGATTCTGAAAGTAAATTAGAGCACAGAAGTGCTTCTGGAATTTCACCCAAACACTCCAGCTTCTGCTTCTGCTTTCTGAAGGAGTAGAATCAGTTTTGAGAATCAGATCCAAACACCCCCTTATTCTTCTTCTTTCCTTCTCTTTTTTAGGTTTAATTCACCCTAATCATCTTCATTATCTTCATCACCATCTTCTTCTTTTTCTTTCCTTCTCACTTTTTACGTTTTATCCACACTGACACTGGTTTGCTATAGTGTCTGTGTACACAGACGAAAATTGTATATGTACACACTTTTTTTATACAAGACAACTAACGTCTGTGTACACCGACACTTGTTTTCCAACTAATTTTTTCACACCGACACTTTTTTGTCTACACAGACAGCTAACGTCTGTGTACACCGACACTTGTTTTCCAACTAATTTTTTCACACCGACATTTTTTTGTCTACACAGACAACTAACGTCTGTGTACACCGACACTTGTTTTCCAACTAATTTTTTCGCACCCACACTTTTTTGTCTACACAGACACCTGGATTTGGCGACGGTCCAGGTTTTGGCGGACTTGGTTCAGTCCAAATGGCCGAGCATCCTGTTTTTAATGGAGACAAAGTTGAATGGTGAACACTGCGAAGAAATCAGGGAGCAACTAGGGTATCAAAACTGCTTTGCGGTGGATAGCCAGGGGATTGGCGGTGGGTTGTGTCTGATGTGGCGAGGCAATATACTTGTGGAAATTGTTGACCACGATACCAATTACATCGATTGTATGGTGCAGCTGGATGAAGATGATCCGAAATGGCGCTTTACGGGCTACTATGGGTACCCTGAACGAAGTAGAAGACGGGAGTCATGGGAGCTACTTAAGCGACTTTCCCAGGCAGCGGACAAACCATGGATTATTATGGGGGATTTCAATGACATCCTCTCTGAAACTGAGAGACGCGGCAGATTACCACAGCCTCCTTGGCTACTACGAGGCTTCAGGGATGCGGTTAATAGTAGCGGTTTGCTGAATGTACCCTTCGAAGGGTATCAATGGACATGGGAGAGGGGTCGAGGAACTCCGAACTGGATTGAGGAAAAATTGGACCGAATATTAGCAAATGAGGATTGGATAAATCTGTTTGGTGGATATCAGGCAGCCTCACTGGAAGGCCCTTCTAGCGACCACCTAATGCTACATATCCGGTTGTACAAAACAAGTGACCGCAGAAGGAAAAGGGCATTCAAGTTTGAAAATATTTGGTTAAGGGATGAGGGATGTCGGGACGTTATCTAGAGGGCCTGGGCAAATTCCAGGAATTTGGTGGTCTGGCAGCGGCTTCTTGGGTGTGGAGTGGAGCTAAAATTATGGAGCAAACACCACCGGGTGGGCTTCCAAACGAAGATTGAAGTTTGTAAAAAAAGATTAGCTACCCTACGGGAGGAAGGTGGACGTTGGAATGCAGCAGAATTCCATAGAGTAAAAACCATTCTAGTCGATCTTCTTCAGCGTCAGAATATCTTTTGGAAGCAACAAGCTAAAATGTTTTGGCTTCAAGACGGAGACAAAAATACAAGATTCTTTCATAACTCGGTGAAGCAACGTAGAAGACGGAACAAAATGAAGGTTCTATTGCTTCCAACAGGGGAATGGGAGAGAAATAAAAGTATTTTAGAGTCAATGATACATGACTTCTATGCTGATTTATTTCGCTCCAGTCATATGGAGGTGGAGGAAACCGATCTGGCATGTTTAGCACAGATAGATGCAACTCAGAATAGGGAGTTAGTTCGTCCTATCACAGCCCTTGAGGTGAAGAAAGCGGTCTTTTCCATGCTTCCAGACAAAGCACCGGGATCGGACGGATTAAATCCGGGCTTTTTTCAGCACTATTGGGATATTCTAGGCGAGGACGTCATCAAGTATTGTCAAGATCTTTTTTCTAGTGGGATAATACCGAAGGAAGTTAATAGCACTCATATTGTTTTGATCCCTAAAAAAGAAAGGCCTGAGACGTTAGGTGATTGGCGACCAATCGCGCTGTGTAATGTGCTTATTAAAATCTTTACAAAAGTCTTAGCCAATAGACTAAAGAGAGTGTTGAACCATCTTGTGTCTGCTAATCAAAGTGCTTTTATTCCGGGTCGTTCAATAGTAGATAATATTATGGTAGCCTTTGAAACTCTTCATTTTTTGAAACAAAAAAGGCAAGGCAGGGATGGTTTTGTAGCTCTTAAACTTGACATGAGTAAAGCATATGACCGAGTTGAATGGGGATATTTAAGAAGAATTATGCAAAGCATGAACTTCGATCCCAAATGGATTAATTTGATTTTGGCATGTTGTTCCTCGGTGGAGTACTATATCCCCTTTGAAGGAGATATGATTGGGCCAATTACGCCGACAAGAGGACTTCGACAAGGGGACCCTTAATCGCCATACCTATTCATTTTAATAGCAGAAGGTTTGATTGCTTTAATTAGGCGGCAGGAAAGCATGGGTAATGTTTTGGGTATTGCAGTGGCTACACGAGCACCGAGAGTTTCTCATTTGATTTTTGCAGATGATAGCTATTTATTTTTCCGGGCTCGGGAAGGAGAATGGCAGACGATGAAACATATTCTTCAGCGGTATGAAGAGGGGTCAGGTCAGCAAATTAATTATCAGAAATCCTCAGTGAGTTTCAGCCCAAATACAAGGGATGAACTTAAAGACTACATTTGTAATTTTTTGGGGGTAAACAAGGAGGCTATCTGGGATTACCGACGTTAGTGGGCAGGAAAAAGACTGAAATTTTGGGACATCTAAAGGAGCGTATTATTAGCAAAATCAGCAGCTGGAATAATAAATTCCTATCTAAAGCAGGGCGTGAGGTTATGTTGAAGACAGTTATTCAGGGGCTATGCCGACATACACTATGAATGTTTTTTTGTTACCAAAAGAGATGTGTTCACAGATAGAGACTATAATGAATGGCTATTGGTGGAAGGGTTCAGATCTGGCCAGGAGGGGTATTCGCTGGAAATCATGGCAGGCTCTATGCTGTCCTAAGCAGAAAGGTGGTTTAGGATTCCGATCATTGCGGGAATTTAATATATCTATGTTGGGAAAGCAAGCTTGGAAGCTCATCAAGCAACCGGATTCGCTAGTTGGGAGGATTTTTAAAGCAAAATATTTTCCTAACAGTTCATTTTTGTAGGCTAAAGCTGGAAGTAATCCGTCTTTTGTTTGGAGTAGTATACTTCATGCACAGGAGATGATGAACAATGGTCTACGCAGGAAAGTGGGAAATGGTCAAACAATTTCTGTATGGAAGGAGAGGTGGCTGCCCGGGACGAGTGATGGCTTGACTCACACACCACCGCCAAACGGAATCGCGAACATGAATGTGGCCGCACTACTAAACGAGAATGGAGAGAGTTGGAACGTAGACAAAATTTCTGCTCTGTTTCTGGGACTGTAGGGTGGCGAATGCAATCTGGCAGCATTTGGGAGCTAGTTTCCAAAGGAACGGGGAGACATTGGTTGATTGGGTTAGGAGTTATTTTGAAAACCTGCAACATGATGCCCTTGGCTACTTTGTGGTATCTTTGTGGAGCATATGGAAAGCCCGAAACGAGAAGACATGGAGGAATAAATCTTTGGGATGGAGACAGATTGTTGAGGGGGGATTAAGTATGTTGAATAGCTGGCAGGAAGCCCACCGGAAAGGGGCGATACAGCAGCTCAGGGAGCCTGCTTTGTGCTGGAAAAAGCCAGTGGACGGCTGTGTTAAAGTCAATATAGACGCAACACTTGATGAACGGCGGGGCAGACGGGCATGGGCATGGGTAGCTAGAGATCATCAAGGAGATTTTCTGGCGGGAGGCAGTCGAACCATGCAAGCTAGCTGGACGCGCAGGGATATCGGAAGCGATAGGTATTCGAGAAACACTCACGTGGATCAAAGAACAGGGATGGGAGAGGGTAAAGTTGGAAACAGATTCTTTGTTGGCTGTTTCAAGCATCATTGATTGAGAAGGAGATTCCTATTTTGATACAATTATTGAAGACATTAGACACATTATTCGTAATGAAGCTAGTTTAGAAGTCATATGTTGTAAACGATCCGCGGACAGGACAGCTCACTCGCTGGCAAGGGCTGCCCTTTCAATGCCGGATGGTTGTGTTTTCTATAATAATTTTCCACCTGATACCATTGTACTCCATTTGGAGAATGACAAATTGAATTAATATATGCTAGTTTTCCATTAAAAAAAACCCTAATAAGAAATAACATGAGTTCATCCCGTGAAGCTTCTCCACTACACCCTTATCCTGATTCTTCTGCGGATCCTCATCACTGTGTCAGGCAAGCCATAGAACTGCAACTCGCATCCTTCTCGTTTTTGTCACCCTCGGTTCCACCTCCATGCTATTACTGGCTGGCTCATCCTCCTTTTGATATACTCTTTTGCGATATTGCTCCAATTTGTCTCCTGCGTGCACTTGTACCCTCCCCCGCAACCATACTACTCTGATCTTCTAGATTTGGCCTAGCCGCTACCACTCGCTGCTTTAGATCTGCCTTTTACTAGTCGAAACTAGTCACTTATATCCTTCGGCCTATACTCTCCCTTTGGTAGCTCTAATCCAAGGCTCAAAAGGTTCCCCACCCCCCAACTTCACGCATCCCACAGAATTGTGAGGGCAGTACTTCTCGGCATGCCCAATGACTCCACACAGGAAGCAAAAGTTAGGTTATTTCTCATAACAAAAAGTTACATGGAAATTAACTCCTCTTTGTAGGAACAATTTCCCTTTCATGGGTCTTCTTAATCCAAACTAACTCTTATTCTCACGAAAGGATTCCTGTTAGC